CCAGATACCTACCTGCGTGCAGAAGTACAGGACCACTTGTAAAAAAGCACTAAAAGAAATCTAGTTTCACAAAAGATGGAAGATAAGAGACAGAGTTCTATGAACAATAGAGAGCACCAAAACTGAGAAATGAAGCACAGATATGCCAAAGTGCAATATGTGTAAATATCCAGGGTATCAAGATATGTACTCCAACTTACAAGAGAAGCTTCGGTGAAAGACAGAAGACCTGAATAGGAGTTGGAAGAGGAACACCCACTGTATGATAGACACTGTCCCACCACCAAACAACATTGGACCAATGGAAAGAATGAAATACAACCAGATGAACCAAAGGGATCTGAGCAGAGGTACCATCAATCGAGAAATACCCACCAAAGGTAATGATCAAGTACCTCGGATGGATATGAGAGCAACTAATGAAGCCCAAATCCCCAAAAGAGACAAAACCTCTTGAAGTAGCCAGGAAAGGGCCTTGAAGACTAAATGCACTATATCATAAATACCGAGTGGATAATGAAGTGACCAATTGATGTTGGGAAGGGAAGAAAATACCCCATGAGAACCAAAAACAGGTAAAAGAGAAAATTCCTAGTATTGAAAAAACCAAACCACACAATCTGCCTCTTCCAGGAGCAAACTGACATGGACTAAAGACAGGAAGAATCTGGAAACCAATAGTCCTGAGAAAAATGAGACCAGATGACTAACACTGGTAAAAGTCCACTGAAGTTTGTGATTATTCATGAAAACACAGCAAGGATCCAAGGGAAACCCAAATGGAAGAGCCCAGAACAGAAATCCCCCCCCCCCACATGTTCAACCGAAAGAAGACAAGAAGGGATGCAACTACTATGTTGAACAAGGACACGGTGTGAAAACTCAATGAAAGGACATAAACAACATCATGGTGGAACAAAAAGGAACCAGAAGCTGTAGGAGACAGGAGAGGTTGATAACAGACCTCCATACATCAAGAGGGAACAACTAAAATCTGAGAGCAGAAATCAGATAATTCTTGTTGCATCCATTCAAATTTGTTTTTGAAGTTTGTAGCCAAAATATTATTATTACTGACCTCCATATGCAGCAAAACATCAGATCTAATAAAGCAATGATCACTTGCCCCCAGATACTTCCCAATTTCCACCCTCTCAACAGTTTCTATATTAGAAGTTAACAATATCTAAAATAGCATTGTTTCTTGTACGTTCCTTGACCAATTGGTGAAGAAAACCATCTTGAATAGTTTACAAAAACCCTTCTCCCTCATGGTTTGACTCTAGAATTGCCTGAAATCAGCAATAATTATTACCTAATTAACAGCTGACATCTTAATCTCACTGTAAAGTTTCTTATTAATTTCACCAGTATCATCTGGTGGTCTGTAATAAATTTCAATTAAAAGCCTTTTCCCTTCACGTCTGCTGATAGAAACCCAAATGGATTAAATCTTTTTGATATCCTCAACTTCAACAGGATGTTACTCACATTTTACATATAAAGCCACTCCTCCCCTCACTTTAATACTCTATCCATGTTAAATAACTTACAACCCTGTATTTCAAGAAATTTCTGTTATCAAAATCATATATATTTAACCATGTTTCAGTTATTCCCATTATATCAAAATCCTCCATTCCCACCAGTTTTCTAAGGTCATCTATTTTATTTCTTGTACTTCTAGCATTACAACAGTAACAATTAAACCTACACTTACAACTACTTCTATACTCATTTCCTATGCTAAACTTTCCTCTATATCTTATTTTTCTTGCATTTAGTTTATCCTGGCCTTCACCACTGTCTAGAACTAGTTTAAAATTTCCCTTACAGCTGAGTTAATATCTCTTGCAAACAAGCCAGCCCCAACCCTATTTAAATGTAAACCATACATCCCAAAAAGCTTCTTTCTCCCATTAAACTGATCCCACAAGTCCAACTAGCCAATCTACTCATCCTTACATGTTAACCTAAGTCTAGCCCTAGGGACCTACTTATGATTTTATCCCACAATTCTTGGCAATATCCCTGACACAACTAAGTTATGGCCCTTTTCTTTAAATGCCTTTATCAACCTTTTGTACTTATCAATTAGCTCCTCTGACCTACCTACATCATTAGCCCCTACATGCACAACAAAAACTGCATTAGCCCCCTTTACTATACCTCTTACTCTGTCAGTTATATACTTCACCCACACCTCTGGGTAGTATAAACTCATTCCTTTCTCCCTATTTACCCCACAGACTAACCTATCCACTTGCCTTGTCAATGAATCACCTATAACTATAATCTCCTTAACCCATTTCCGTCAGTCGCACATATATAGCTATAACTCTATGTGAATGACGAAAATTACCGTTTTATTGTGAATAATGGCAACTCAGTTTTACGTGCGAGTCAGAAAATGGCAACTGAGCAGCTCCTGCCACAGTTAATGGGTTAAGTTTCTCATTCACATCCTTTTCTGTCCTTTTTGTTTTCCTTCCCTCCAATAGTTCCTCCATCCGCACAAGCCAAGGGCTGAAATCTGTTGCTCAACAGAACATGGTCATTACAATTAAATCCACTACTTTTAGCCCTAACAGTACTGATTCTAACTTCTTGAAAGTCATTGTTAGCTGATGTATCGCTTGCATGTAAAAGCTTACGTTCCTCTTAAAATCTTGTGCCATTTCCTACAGTTTACACTTCTCTTTATCTATTACTTCTACTTTAATTGGGATAAACTTCAACTTTTCCTACAACCTGCAAACTCTACAAACAAATTGCACATCTTCACTGCTAGTTTCCTTAAAAGTTCTGAGTTCTCAAAAAAAAAATCTCATTGCACCCATCACACCTAAAAAATTGTGAATGCTTAACTCCTAGTCCAACACTAATCTTAACCATTGTCTTTGTAGCCTGGCAATAAATACTCAACACTAAATACCAGTAGCCAGTGACAACACCATTGTGCCTAAAGTTTGAGAATAAAATATATTACAGTATTTTATCACTACTTTATCTTCAAACTAAAGTAATTAAGTTTATTTTTAATTATATAGAATTCACAAATAACTAGTCTTTACATTAGTTGATATTTATGTAATAATACAATGTATTCTGCCTGATTTATAACTTACCTATAAGCAGAATTTAAACACTAATGGATCTAAAGTCAAAATATTTGTTTAATAAAACAATGTATTTAATCTGTTTTATGATTTACCAACAAGTTTAGTTACAGCTAAGCCTAAAGTACCATGACATGTCCTAAGCCTAATTTAACATTGTAGTATAGGTTACACCACTAAGTTTTAATTTAAAGCTTTAACCCTACAATTATTATTTACCAATCTTCTTAAATCTAGTTATTCTTTTGTTATTTAACCAAAATTACTACAAATGATAATATTAATATTAAATAAAATTTAAAAATCTCCAAGAGTTTAGCCTTCTAATATCTTCTCTCTGCCATAGCAAATACTTCTCAATCATTTCAAAGGTTCATTTATAACGATATATATATGTGTTGTATTTGAATCTCAGTGTGTTTAACTTTTGATTTAAAGGGTTTATTTTGTTTTTGTCAGATGATATGCCGAAAAGTTACAAGTACATGTAAGATACAAAAAAATAAAAATGAGAAAATACTAATAAATGTACTAACAATTAAAAATGTGAAAAATACTAAAAAATGAAATTAATACAAAATAAAAAATGCTCAAAAAATAAATGTTCTTACTTTATTATGTCTTAATACGCAAAAGGATCTGAATTGTGCTTCTGAATCCTTGTTAAAGAGTTTATCTATTTTCTTGTTTGTTTTGTAATATGTTATTTTAATTTGTGATTGGTTGTCCTTATTATGCTATACCAGTGTTAAAGGGAATTTTGCTTTATTGCAGTCATTGTAACATCATTAGTCTTTCTTTATGTAACTGTCACTGTAATGTCATTGTTAAAGGGTTTCAAGTTAGGTTTCTTCTTTATTCAAGGGTTTTTCAGTATAAATTTATTTCTGAGTTAAAAGGTTGTGTTATCTGTGTTACATATAAGTGTTTACAGGAACAAGAGAAGGTTACAGAACTCCTTGACCAATGCACATTTGTATATTTGATTGGTTTTTACAGTTAACATCATTATCAATTTGAGAACAAGCCTGAAATGGAGGAGAGTGTGGTAAGCTTGTATACCATACATTTTATACCATCTCTTTTTAATATAGAATTAAAAAACTGTGTTACATATGTGCAGTTTTGCATAACACATGGTCAAGAAAGTTATTAAGTTACTTTTGTTCTAGCTAACTTTGTTCTTTGTCATTTCCTTGAAAATAACACCTGGTCTGCCCATGAGAGGTATAGCTGTATAGCTGCACCTTGTGCATGAAAGTTTGACAACAGTGTTCTTCAATGATAGATCATCAAGATTAAAACCTCCTTTATGTCTGAAGGGGGAATGACCAGTCATGTAAGTAGTAGTAGTTAATCTTGGAGGTCTAACATTACCAATTCAAACTAAGTATAGCAAGATTTAGCTAGTCTGGAACATCATCTTGATTAAGTCAGTTCAGAAATAAGTCTTGAGGGAGGTGAGCCAGCCTTGTCAATTCACAACTTCATTAAAAATGACTATGTGTCATCCATAAGTTAGAGTACACACTTGTCAATTTTATCAAATAATGAGTTTTCATTATGTATAACACTATGTATCCAGTTCACTAATCTCTTAACACAAACTATTAATTTTAGCAAAACTCAGCATTGCTTCATAATTTATCTTGTCAAACCTCCCATTATATATAGGAACTACCTAATATATTCTTTCAGGAAATCTTTTTACCTGATAAGACCAAAACAGTACAGAAACACACATACAAATACAATTTAAAACCCACCATTCTTTTTATGCTTATTTCAAGAATGGCTGCACTCTGAAGAAACACTGAAACACTGAAAAAAGCCATAAAATACAATTTCCAGATTTAAAATTATCAACCTGCGAAAGTGTACCTGTGCAAGACTTGATGATGTCTCCTGATGGTAAACTGTTGCTGTTGATAAACAAGCACGTTGAGCTTCTAGCCCAATGTTCATTAAAGGGTGAAGTTTGAACTTGAAATGCAATACACAACTTGAAAATGGTCTTTTTTGTGAATTTATACAAAAACCTGGACAATCATTTCTATATTGAGACATAGGGATGTATCGAAGAGTTTGGCTCTGAAAGAAAAAATTAAGATATTATTCAGCAAGTCATGAATACAATTGATTCAGAATTTTAAAAGTTAATATTTTCCTACACTGAATATATATTTCCGATAGCTACTTACCTCTTCTCACAGTTACAGCCATTCTCAATTTGACTGCCCTCTAGTGAACAAATTTTTGCTCGCCACTAGCGTTGAAGTCCTACCAAATTCCACGTGTATGCTATGTGGTTCAGCTGCATTTAAGCATGCAAATTAGCATGTGACAATCCTACACCAATAGAAGTGTGACACACCCTCCTATCACAGCTGAACCCAATCTTCTCTTTGAGATTACGCAGGAAAAACAACACAGGAAGTGGGAAGGGTGGGTGGGAACTGTGAGAGGAGGTAAGTACCTATTGGAAATGTACTTTTAGTGTAGGAAAATATTAACTTCCAATCCAATTACTTACCTCCTCTCACAGTTACAGCTAGAATTCCACATTGAGCAGGTGAAGGGACCTGTGTAAAATTACCTAGATGAGCACCCTTCAAAAGTGTCTGAAAAACACCCATGGAGTGTGCTACCTTTGTGTAAAGGAAACACACCCACGGGAGATGCACCACATCTGAACAAGTTATACTCTTCACCCAAGTGAAGCCAACTGGTGTTCTGTTGCAATTCCAAGGTGGAACAAGTGATACATCTGAAATTTAAAAGAAAGAAGAATGTGTGTATAGTGGCTAGGGCTCATCAGACCCTAATTAGAAGGTTAGTTCCAGTCCAGACCAGTAGCATCAGGAGGAACTCAACCGACCCCTGGCAGGAGGAGGGTTTTACGCCATTCAGCACAGGTGTAGGAACCAGAAGGGAAGAGGAGCCTCTGTTTCGACAACCTAAACCAACATGTGTGCAAATAAAACAGGAATCTACATCCAGACAACATCAGGAAGGTGGAAATACAACATGGAGGGTCAATCCCGGTCCAAAACCAATTGGCAGCTTGGATGTAACATCAAGTCTGTGGTAAAAGGAAGTTCCCAGCCCACTCACATGTGAGGACATATGTTGGCTGTTCCAGTTACAACCAAAACCATTTTTCCAGGAATTAACATTCAGGCACAGTAAGAGGGAGGGTTCCCAGACAAAGGGGCAAACTGCAAAGTAGACAGAAAAATCCAGTCAGACAAGCAGCATTTGGAATAAAACCTCAGACCTGTGGCAGGAGGATAGTCATGCTTTCTACACAGGCAGAATGCCACTGCCCTACTCTCAACTGAGTAGAAATGTGCACACTCAGTAGCATTCTTTTATGATCCACAATCCCAGTGGCTAGGACCTGGGAACAGGTAAGGAATCCCATACTCCACTGAAACAAGGTGGAATGAAATTTTTAAAAGCAGGCCATTCCTGATTCCTGCAATCTAAGGAACATTAGAAATGGGCAGCAATGCTTTACTGATGTTAGATCCTGTACAAACATACTTATGATGCAATATACTGTGAGGAAGAACCTGCAAGCGGCCTTGTGGAACACCTCATCTGAACAGTGAGTGTGACTGATCTTATAGATCTCACGATGCAGATTTCAGACATCAGTATACCTGGACAGACACAACTTACCACACAGCAGGATACATAAAATGTTAAGTAGGCCCTTGACAAAAAAAACTTACCAAATCAGATTTGTACCAATGTATGGAAAACAGCTGGAGGGGGAAGATGACATCTTGGCAGATGGTGCAAGTAGTGTGACTCCAAAGTGTGGGGAGTGGTCCACATGCCTTGTGGAACACCCCATCTGAACAGTGAGTGTGACTGATCTTATAGATCTCACGATGCAGATTTCAGACATCAGTATACCTGGACAGACACAACTCACCACACAGCAGGATACATAAAATGTTAAGTAGGCCCTTGACAAAAAAAACTTACCAAATCAGATTTGTACCAATGTATGGAAAACAGCTGGAGGGGGAAGATGACATCTTGGCAGATGGTACAAGTAGTGTGACTCCAAAGTGTGGGGAGTGGTCCACATGCCAGCCTGGATAATCTTCTCCAAAGAATGATGAAAATGAGCAGTCAAAGACATTGAGAGGTGACAGATAAGATGAGACAATACATAGAACAATTGACAAAATTCAGGAGAAAGGGAGGAATACATAATACAGATAACCTAATGAACCCAACCAATAAGTGTGATATGAGATATATTGGGAGAAATGGATGGATTCGTATGGATAAACAAATGGGAGCAAGAGCCATGGAAGGATGCTGTGCATGACACATAATATCTTAAAAAATGGACCGGACATAGGAGACGATCCGGATCAGAGTGGAAGTAAATATGGGATATGGAAGGAAGGATACCCTATAGCCCGCAATGGTTGTAAAGGACAGACCCTTGCCAAACAACCATGTAAAAATGGATATCCGAGGAAGGAAAGGAAGGGGAGAATCCATGCCAGATAGACTAATCATGAAATATTCTTCACTTACATTGATACACAAAAATGGATGAGGAATGAATAGTGTGAGATAACAGGGATGTCACAAGTCTGGACAGTCCCAAACCCCTTGTGAAGCCAGAGTGTGGGAATGGAGGGATGTAGCACTCTTTAGTGGGGTTGCCAGAGAAAGGCCCAGGAGAGGTAATGGAGATTGTTCCTGAAGAAGGGAAAAGGATGGAAACCATGGTTGAGCTGGCCAGAAAGGAGCCACAAGAAGGACCCAACATGGAGTGGATTGGATGACAGAAATTACTTGGGGTAAAAGATAGATGCTAGGTTATGCAAAAAAGGAAAGGTCATTCCAATCCTGGCTGAATGCATCCATGTCCAAAGCCAAAGGACATGGAACTGGGGACCAAAAGAGAGGAAGCTTGGCATTCATATGCACCCAGTTTGGGAGTATCCAACTGGGAACATAGTTATCAGAATACCTGGGGGTCGAGAGACCATTTTGTGGGTAGAATATTGTTGGAATGGGGCATACAATCCATGACAAGATTGAAGGCACCTGTTATGTGACAAGTCAGCAAATGAATTTGATGGCTGTGAGTCCAGAAGAGATCTAGAGTGCAGGAATATAAGGACTAGGAGTAAGTGCCCCTAGACTGGTGATACAAGAGAACCATCGAGTTGATGGAATGAATCACAACTGTCATCCCCTGCAGAGATGACAGAAAATGAACCATTGCTCGATGAACAGCAAGGAGTAACAAAAGGTTGAGGTAAGACCTAACTCCTCCTGAGACCAATGGCCTGAATTCTTCTGTGTAAAGCAGCATGCATTCCATCCAGACAATAAGGTATCTGTAAAGACATAGCCATCAGGACAAGTAGAAGGAATGGGTATACTCACTGTCATGTTATCCCTATCTGACCACCAGATGAAGTCAGAATGAAGGGAAGCAGGAAGGGATATATGTAAATCCAGAGGTACCAATGAGCTTGAAGTACCCACTACAAGGAATGCATGTGGGATAAGAGCTTCCATTGATCCCCAAGTCCCCAAAAAAAGCTATAACCTCTTTCACAGGGACCAAAGATGCTGATAGTGCCCTCTGAACTAAAAACTCCATGGATCACAGATGAAAAGGAAAAGGCTGAGAGGGGAGTTGAAAAACACCCCCAGATGAACAAGATATCGAGTGGGGTTGATAATGAACTTCACCTTGATAAATCAACCCACCCAATCTGTTTCTCTGAGGAGAAGTTGGGTGTGTGAGGAAGACTCTGTGAAAGATGGAGCCAGAAGGAGCCAGTCGTCCATAAAATGATGGAAATTGAGACTGTGAAAATGACAGAATCGGGCAAATGACAGGACTACCTTACAGAAAGCTTAGGGTGCCAATGCCAGCCTGAAAGGAAGAACTCGGAATTGACAAACATGATCCTTGTGAACAAAAGTAGAAAATAACGTGAAGCCCAAGTAATAGAGATGTGAAGATAAGCATCAAACACAGCAAATCTTATCATCCAAAGCCCTGGTAGAAAGGCCCACCTGAGGGACTGTTAGGAGTCCATGGTGAACTGAGACGCATCAAGGATGCGATTCAGATGGGAAAGATTGATCACAGGACACCAATCATCGGTCTTCTTGGAGATGACAAAAGGTTGGGAATAGAGCCCCGGATGCACAGGAGAAACCCGTTCAATGGTACCCTTGATGAGAAAGACTTTAACTGCTTCTGTGAGACGCTTGCAGAAAACAGGATCTAAAGGGGAAAAGGAACTAGGTCAGGGAATAAAGCAGGAGGTGTGAGGAAAAGTAGGGAGAGTCCTTCTTATAAAACTCAAATGACCCAAAGTTAGTGGTAAAAGTCTCCCACACTTCTGAGATATGAGTGAGCCTGGCTCCCACATGACCCAATTCCATGGGGTAGTCACCAGTAATGCTGACATCATACAGGCCATCTGTGAACAATAGTATGACATGTAGATGTAGACCGGGAAGGAAGAACTGGTGAAGAAAATGAAGGAGGAGGTTGGAACAACAAGAAGTAAGGGAAGATAGGGAAATGAGCAATCTAGCAGATTCAACAAAAGACTAAAAGGTGTCTAGAAGCCCATCGAAGATCGTAGATCTCATAAAAGGGGATGATCGAAGATCTTGAAGGGAAGTCGAGGGGGAAAATGTACATGTCAACAATGCATCCCAACACAGGAGACAAGTGGAGGGAAAAGGCAGATGAAGACAACCTGAACAAGTTGGTGAATAGGAGGGTATAGGCTTCCGCTGAAAAACCATTAAGTAAATGACAGGTGAATGAACAACAAATAATGAAGGAATGTTGTGAGGGTGAAATGGAAGTGAGCAAAGTATGCATGAGAAAACGCAATGAATCATCGAAATCCGAACTCTAAAGGGGAATAAGTTAATCAATTGTTGTCCCCAAGAAAGAATTTGGTGAATGATGATATGCAAGTACATGACCATTTGTAGTATGTGGGGGTGGGGGCACAGCATACTCAGAACTTTGTGCTGCAGTTAACAATACCTGTGATATCAAGTCTCAAACTAGT